CTCTCACCAGGCATCGGCTGCATGTTCTCTCTATGATCCTTTCCCACAGCTCTTTCTGTCTCCCACGCTTTCTCCTCCTCACTCGTAAGTCAATCCTATAGTTCCCTCGGTTCCTCGCAGAGCCTTTGAATGGGAAGAGTCAAGACACCTGCTGAGCGGGTTCAGGGCTGTATGCAGTGCTGCCCGCTCAGGTGGAAGGGTAACGGCCTGCTTTGTCTGCCCTTGAATTACTGTGGCAGCTAATCTGCATCTCTCTCTTTAGCAAACTTGGTTTAAAAAAAAATAATAGTTGTGCAACTTTATAGTTGTGGTGATCCCAGCTGGAGGCCATGTGCCCACCAAAGCTGCTGTCACCCCCTTCCTCAGCTGGGAAGGGGGGAGGAAATATCAGGAAAGGCTTGTGGGTCGGGATCAGGACAGGGAGGGATCACTCACCAATTACTGTCATGGGCAAAACAGACTCAGCTTGGGGAAATTAATTTATGACCCATCAAATCAGAGTAGGATAATGAGATTAAAAAACCCCTTTCCCCCACCCCTTCTTCCCAGACTCAGCTTTGCTCCCCATTTCTCTGTCTTCCCCGCCAGTGGCACAGGGAATGGGGATTGTGGTCAGTTCATTACAAGTTGTCTGTGCTGCTCCTTCCTCCATCGGGGAGGGAACCTCACACTGCCCTGGCTATGGGCTGAAGTTCTTCACCAACTGTTCCAACCTGGGTCCTCCCTGGGTCACAAGTCCTGACAGCAAACCTGCTCCAGCCTGAGCAATTCCTCCACGGGGCCACAGCGCCTGCCAGGAACCTGCTCCAGCCTGGGCAGCCCACGGGGTCACAGCTGCCTTAGGGCATCCCCCTGCTCTGGTGTGGAGTCCTTGGAAGGTCTGCTCCCCCATGACCCTCCATGGCTGCAGGGACACAGCCAGCCTCACCATGGGCTGCCAGGGAATCTCTGCTCTGGTGTCTGGAGCACCTCCTTCCCCTCCTTCTCTGCTGACCTGAGGGTCTGCGGAGCTGTTTCTCTCTCATTTTCTCACTCCAAGACCTTGCCACCTAAGCCCAATACAAGAATAAATAACCTGTTATTAATTAAGGCTCCTGAGGGAAGAGGTCTTGCTTCCACATACAGACCTAAAGGGTGATCTCAGAAGTCTTAGGTTGGGAAACAATTTCAGGGCCTTGTTGCTAGAATTAACTTGTAGGTATAAGGTGTTCTCCCAAGAAATAATTGCAATACTGACCGCAGCAGCAACTTCAAACTTTTTTGATCTTCTCTGGGTATTACTATCCTAGCAGGCTTCAGTACTACAGGTGTGTTTGCATGGCTTTGATCAGTACTGTCTCTTCCAGACATCACTGCAGAGGGCCTGAAAAGTACTTGTTGCCTTGAAAGTCAAATGCAACAGTTCTTATCCAGATATATGCCTATCCTGTCTAGGTGCTCTTTCAGTTCTTCCTCTCCCTTTCTGCCCCACTGCTGAGTGTGGGACATATCAGTTCAGTTAGAACTGTTTTTATCAGGACGCAAAAGAAACATCTGGGAATGCAGAAAACCTGGTTTGATGTATTTTTCAGCTTTTCTGCAGATTCAGAAGATCCCACTCCCAAATGAGAAATGCACTACAACTCTCAAAAAAGGATTGTACCAAAATTTTCTTTTTCCCTTGAAATTGGTTTGGAGTTTACCGTTGTGGCTTGTCCCGTGCTCACTTGGTTGTCAAAGCCTCTTTGGCTTTGTTTAGTTTGACCAATCCCACACCCACTGTGTGTAAACACTGAATGAGATTCAGTTGGGTAGAAAAAAGAAAATGACAGTCTGTTGCAAGAGAGCAGAAGCCTATGAAGGCACTGTACTGCTTTTATTTTTGAAGAACATTTTAAATGCAACTTGATATTCAGACAATGTAAGTTGCTACAGAACACATGCTTTAGAGGATAGGATAGTTAGAAATATGTTACGCTGATTAACCTGGTTTATCTCCTTTCAGAACATTCCTCAAATACTGATGTCGTCTTTATTTCTTTGTAGAAGTACCACAGATGTACTAGGGAAGAAAACAGGAGTTAGATGCCCTTCTATATTATATAGTCACATTAAAAAGGCATAATTTTGTTTTGAAAACAGTGTTCTAGTCTTCTCCAGTGTACTTTTCTCTCCCTGTTCTGGCTTTAAAGGGAAGGGAATCTCTAATGGGCTTTATCTACATGACAATACATCTTTCTCTTGTTTTCGAGCACTGTTTCTATTTGCTTAATTTTGACAGAAGTACACGGCAATGGAAGTCAAAAGGATGGTGGTTACAAGCATTTAAGCTCCAGTATCTAACAGTTCCTCGAGTGGTTTTGTCAACTGCTCCCATTTCAGGTAGCTTACGTCCTCTCTACTACCAATATCTCCCAGAACCCTATTTAATATAGGAGCTAGTCTTACAGGAAAAATAGCATAGGTGGGCATTAAGTGTGTAAACTGTAGCTTGTTTTCTGTACATCCAGAATGAGTTACCTTTTCTGTTCTTGCAATCTGTGATTGTTGTTTCTTAACATGTATGTCATGATGCAAACTGAGAAGTATTTCTTCTGAGAACAGTGCAAATATCCTTAACGATTCTCTTATCTTTCTTCCTGGCAGAATCAGGCAAAGTTTGTTTTGCCAGGTTTCTTCTGCTCAGCCGCTGGTTTGCGATCTGTTAGGTAGGCGGCATCGTACAGGATGCTCATTAGGAAGCTAAGGAGATGGGTTGGGTGGCTGACTTCACTTTTGAGAAAATTTTGTAATTTTTTTGTTTGTTTCCCTCCCTGGTTTGTGTTTGGGTTTTTTTTTTTTTTTTGAAGATTGCTTTTAGATTTGTGTGTTCAGGGTTATAAGTGATTTCCGTGTACAGTGTGTAGCTTCATTAACGCTATACCAGATGTTAACCATCAGCAGAAGAGGGAAAAGATGTGTTGTTACTAGCAAAATTTGATCAGAGCATAGAGGTAAGGACAGCAGTGTACAAAACTTCAAAAAGGGATATTTAATTTCACTCTTAGAGCTCAGTTGTATACGCTGCATCTGATGTCTGGTCCCTGTAGTTCTGGAAGTCAGGGTGTGCTTAATTCCAATAGCTTGCTAATCCATATTTTTAATTGTTTTTCTCTTTTCTACAAGAATTTTAACAATGCTCGATAGCTCATTTTTTGCAGTTTCTCTGGCATTTTATTCTGTGACTTTAATATGAGTATCACATACTAAGGAGTTAAATTGAGCATTTCCACCAATCATTCTTGACAAGCCTTGTGATAAAGGATTTTTTGGTGATTAGTTTAAGTTAAACATTTGACTTTTGAACTCATTCTTGTGGTATGTTTCAAGACAATGGTGGCCAAACAGTGTATTCTGCTGAATAACAAACTGCAAACATAGCTGCTTTTTGTTATTGTAATAGAGGGATAATTGACATTCTGGTGTTGAGGTGGTTGATGTTTTACTTAAAGCTTTAAAAGAATTCAAAATACTTTGTTATTTTGCTCTAATACAGAGAAATATGTTGTGGGTTCCCCCCCTTCCCCCCTCCCCGAAAAATTTCTAAGTGGATTTTAAGACTGCATATTGTATTTATTCTGAAATATAATTGAGTATACAAAGTAGGCACTTGTACATTCTCATTATGGGTAAGAAAAGGATAGAGTTCAAACAAAATGTAAATGTGACTTACAGTCACATGCTGAGTTCTGTAGTGCAAGTTGTGCTTCTCATTGATCTCTAAGTGCTGCTGCCTTTTTGGTTTGCTCTGTCGGCAGCGTGGTCAAGGATGAGCACATCCTATGGCTGCAGTCAGCTGTGCTTTGGCCCACCTGCTGGTCACTGACCCACTGCTGCATTCGGGTCTCTTTTGATCTTGGATACCAAGGATTCCTGCCTTTATTCTTTTTCTGGGTTAAAAATCCATGCTTGTACTCATACTCATTGTTGCTGTTGGACTGCTCCATTTGGATATTAGACTTTTAGAAGTGCACAGAGATCGTCCAGATAAGGTGTTAGAGTTCAGAATCCTTTTTTGGACTTTTGATGTGAGAATTAAGGGCAAATATTCTTAAAAAAATAAAATCGTTTATTGGGTAATCCATATCCATAGAAGTATTTGTAGGCTTTAGCTAGTTCCTATGAATAACGTTAGCTCTCTTCTACTCTATAAGGATTTTCTTCAACTTGTAAAGAAAAGCACTTAGGCAAGCTAAACCTGATGAAAGGCTTGTGTAGTGAAAAAGATGCAATTTTTCCAATTCTGCTGGTGTTCTAACAGAAGATTATATTACTGTAAACCCATTTTACTTAAGTATTTTGGGTACTGTCTGGACATTGTAATAAAGTGTGATTAAAAATAGTATTTCTGAAGGGGAAAGGTAAAATCTCAAATGATTGAGGTTTGGGATTTTTGCTTGGTTTTGCTGTATATTTTTAGAGGTGATGACAGACAGGTTTGATAACTGTGCAAGGAGGTAGGAAGATGGTATTTAACAGATAACAGAGCTGAGGAGGTGTTTGATTCTCAGTGCTACGGTGAGAAGAGTTGATTATAAAGAGATGATGTATAAAGAGTTGTCTTTTATTTACAGGTAACTTTTCCAGGCTTTTCTGAATGATCAGCTGAGGAAAAAGTTAATGTTGATCCCCAAATATATTTTGTTGTACTTAATTGTCTAGTTTTCATCTTTTTTCAGAACCTTAAAAAAAAAAAAGAAAAAAGGGAAAAAAAACCCAAAACCAAACCTTGTATCTTTTCTTGTGTTTCTAGTGTGGAAGTTTTAAGGAAATGTTTACATGTAATAGACATCTTTGCACTTCTCCAGCATCTTGAAGGGAAGTTGTGATTGTGCACTTTGAACTCCTCTAAACATGGAAAATGTTCTTCTGGTAAAATCGATTTTTAAAAATTTTATGTACGTATTTTTTAATATTGTTCAGAGTCATTTTGGGGCAGTGGGAAGAAGCCTAGTTTTTTTTTCTTCTCCTAGAATGTTAGCATGGCTAAGCAGCTAAAAACTAGTCAAGATACCGATGGTGCTTGTGTTACAGAGATTCCATTTATTGCCCAATGTGCAGTTGAACACCGGCTTTTACCGAGAGTATATATCTGCTTGCACATCTTGCTGTACTGGTTAAATATGTTATTATCTCAAGTGCTCATCATTTTCAGAAAGCTGATGTAGCACAACCATCCGTGGAGTTCTGTGAAATAAATAGTTTGAATGGGCTTGCATCTGGTTCAGGCAAAGTCAACTGGGCTAATTAAAACTGCTGAAACTAACCTGACTGACCTTTCATGAGATGAACTGGGAAGCCCTTAGATATGTGCTGGGCCAGCAGAACTGCAGGGCAAAAGCAAGTTGGTGCAGGAAGGGGGATGGGGATGGTAACGTTTTGGCTCAGAACTATTTCTTGTGGGGGGAGCAGCTTGTGTGTACTCAGAAACTCATCTTTTGCATGTAGGAATTCCACTTGTTTTCATGGAAAAGGCAGACCCTCCCCACTATTTGTTTGTTTTTAGAAATACACAGATGTTTATAGGAAGCAAACCAGTGAATCATTAGAAATGTTCTTTGTACAATGTCTCCTTAAACTGCAGGCTGATGGTGTGCTGGAATGCGGGGATGTATCTTGTGGCTGTTCCATTCATCCCTCTGATGCTCTCGAAAGCATCTTATTCTGCTTTTACTTTCCATACTAGAGGTTTACATAAAAATGATTATGCTACAGCTTCAAGCATGTACTGAAATGCTAGAAAACCTAAAGAATTTATGTGGATTCCTTATATTAAGATCAGATGTGGGAATGTCACATTGAATATCTGCTGTACAAAACTCAAATGATTTTAATGGAAAATAAGAATCTGAAATGGTATGTGCCTAGCAGCAAAATAAAAAAGCAGGGGGAGGGAATGGACAGAGAGAGTTGTATAATGGGCCAGAATGACACCTTGGAGATTAAAAGTCCATTTCTCTGCTGTGCTGACAGAGAAAGTAATTACTGCATTTATGTCTTTTTCAATGATGTGAAACTAGTTTCTAAAGCAAAGTGGAGTATTTGAGAGAAGCCTGCAATGTGAGCAACGCAGTAATCCGTCTGATTGGAATGTCCTGTGGCCTGAGGCAGTTTCAGCTGCAGGGCAGTTTGAACCAAAATGGTTTTTCATGCATGTGACAACACTTTGTACATTTTTAATTTTTCAATAATAAATCTGTCAGCTGAAACTTGGCTTATTTTGGTTTTTCGTACTCTAACAGTTATCTTAGAATATAAATAGCATTGAGATTAGCAATCTAACTGAAGTTGATGTTGAAGGGCATAAGCAGGATATTGAATGTAAAGTATTATTTTGCATAAGAAAGCTTATTTAATTCTGAGTCAAAACAGATGGATTTCCTTGTTAAGGCTATTGGTTATTGAAACAAAATAGCTTTAGTAGAAAGCAGTAAAATGTTAAAACTTTTCGTAGCTGTTAGCATGTTGACTTGTGCTTGGCAGCATTTCATGGACATTGTTTAAATTAGTGGGCATGTATGTGCGTGCTGGTATGTTTGGAAGGGGGACGTAACCTTTCTGTTTGGGAAACCACAAAAGGCCCTTGACAGTGACTAGTCTGGCTTTGGGCAGGAAGGCATTGGCAACCCTAGCCAAATGTGCCACACGGGCTGCATGCAGACGGTGAGGATCAGCCCGTTCCTAACTCTTCTACCTTATCTGCAACAAGTAACGGGACCCGCTGCTTCTGTGGTTCTCGCCAGTCAAACTTGAGTTGGCCCCACTTGGCTCGGGGCCTGCTCCAGTGAAGGGAACTGGAGTGGGAGCCAGCCCCAGTAGCCTTTACAGCAGAAGTTACATGCTCCAAGTTAGATCTACATAGGCTGTTTAACTAACTGTTCTGTGCTTGGGAAGAAAGCCTTTAACTTGGAAATCTGAATTGGGGGGGTGGGGTGGGGGGAGGGGTTGAATACATCCTGATGGTATTGATTAGCAGTCAGTTGTGATCTTGGACCTTCCTGAGAAGGGAAAGGGTGGGAATGGACATTGCTGGCAAACCTTAACTGAAAATTTCCTATCAGATAATCACATTTTGTTCCTGTCCAAAACTGCTAAGAGAATAGTTAGTAGCAGGTGATCTTATATTGAAAGAGAACATTCTTCTTCACCAGTGTAATTGTATTCAGAGAAAACTATGTCTGTGGAATGCTAATGGCCTCTGGAAAGCTTGAGAAGCATGTATCTGAAAAAAGAGAGAATTTGTGAAGAAAGGAGTACTTGTCTACTTAGTCACTACACAGACTTTATTTCTACCTACAGTATTGTAATTTGAGCTTCATGTTTCTCCTTAAAGAATGATGTTCCTTGAAAATGCAAAGCTTTTTTGAGGAGTATGAAGATTTCTGATCTCTTCTTTCTCCAGGTGCTTTTCTCCTACCCTTATTAGAGGCTGCTCTACCAAACTCATGTCAAACTATCTCTTGCCTTTGAGTTTATCTGGGATCTCCATTCTCTTCCATGAACAACTTGGAACAATCCAAAAGTTTTCCTGTTTTTCCAAACCAGTATCATTCTTCATCAGCATGACATCAGTCTTGATTTATGTGATACCTTCTGTGAGCCTTGCAGTTCTTCCTGAACAAGACTGGTTTTGTAAGAGCTGAATATGACTCCATTTCTTGTTGCACTAGTGGCTCATTATTACTTACTTTGTCACTTCAGGCCGGATTATTAAGATACTGGGTTAAATTAGGGTACAGACCTATGTTTATGTTACCAAGATGTTTAAGCTTTACAGTTTATAAAAGGTAGATGATGTTGATCTAAAGATCATCTCCTAAAATGTGCCATGACAGTGTTCTTTAAACATTCTGTTTAAAAATTTACCTGAGAGAACCAAATTAAATATTTATTTATAATTATTTTATTTTAATTTAAAAGATCACTTATTAAGAGTGGTTTTGAGTGTAAAATGATTCATCTGTAATAATCTTTCAAGTGTGTCTTTTCTTACTGATAGAAGTAGACAGGTCTATGTCAGTTGCATTAAAATGTTGCTTAGAAGTAGGCTGGTGAAATTGCATTAATATTCTGCTGTCAGTGCTACTGTAGAGAATTTAAATAGCTTTTATTCAGGTTCATTTATGTTCACTTTTGGAAACATACACCTTTTTAGTTTGTCAGCTTTCTAGCACTGCTATCACCATAGTGTTTGCTTTGGAGCAGCTAGAGTTAGTTTTTTATGTACTAGAGCTATTTTCAGCTAGTAAATAACAGTTTTTCTTTTTTAAAAATACTACATTCCAGCATTCTCTTGCATGCTTTTGACAAGTTGTGTCCTTTGGATAAGATGATGTCAGAGATTGTCAGTATCTAAGCTTCAGAATAGTGATTTTGGGTTTTGTGCATTAGAAACTTCCACTGAAATAATTTGACGTTCATCTTTCTTCTCTTGTAGCCCTGTTCTCTGCTTCTCAAGCTATTGCACATTAATCTAGAAGCTTTTTCTGGTGTCTTAGAATGGTTAGTTCACCGTGGTTTTGTAACTAGGTCTCACACACTTTGTTTTAATGCAGAGTGCTGGCAAACAGCTTGTGATAACTGTGCTCAAATTTTTTTTTGTGGGAGGGGCTTGTTTCAAGTTGGTCTTGTAAACATGAGATTGTGTTTATTTTCTTTCTGTAAATCTGTATACGTTAAACTAACAGACGGATCTAGACATAGCTGGCTTGGTCCAAATCTGGTTGAGTCGTCACATTTCTACCCTGGGCTCAGCCTGTCTGAGCTTAGAACAGAGGCAGAGTTACTGATTCTTACTTATTTACGTTTTCTGCCTGTCACTTGTCAGCAGTCAGTGCTTTAGAAACTTCATCCTTTTGAATCAAGTATTCCAGCAAATGTAGGATGAAACATTTGTGTTAAAGAGCCAAAATGTTCTGTATGTGTTAACTGTTAGTCATTAATGGCTGTCCAACTAAACTAAAAATTACCAATTTTCAATGATAAATTTTCAAACACAAAACCAAGGAGAGTAAGATTCAGGTGGGTGATTGAGGCTGATACTTCAGTTTCAGCAGATGCCACTGTGTCAAAAAAGGTCAGCTGTTTGGTGAAGACCATAATTAACCTTTTTATTTTTTCCTTTTCTGTATTTCATCAAAATCTCTTATGTAGAGGCAAAATTATTGCTTATGACACACAGGATTCGAGAATCATTCAAATGGAAGGGACCACAGGTATAGTCCAAGTTTCTGCTTGGAGCAAGATGAGCACTGAACTGGGGCAGTGTTGCCTAAAGCTTTGTCAAGTTGGATCTTGATTTGATTATTTCTTATTTTTGTGATTAAGAAAAAGCAGTTAGTTGTCAAACTTTATTCTCGTATTGGAGATAACAATATCCAAGGAAAGAAAAGCATTTAAACATAAACTTTTCTGAAATATTAAACTAAACTTTGATAATACTTACGGTTGCATGGATTTTCTGAAATATTGGAAGCATGTGAAGCAACGTAAGAAGACTACTTTATAACTGAGTATTTTCGGTTTTAGAGTCTTGATGAGTATGAAGATGATGAAGCAGGGCAGAAGGAGCGAAAGAAGGAGGATGCTATTACCCAACAGAATACAATACAAAATGAAAGTTGCAGTGCAGATACCCCTGGCTCATACTTATTACAGGTGAGATCTTAACACTTGTTCATTTTGATATTTTATTCTGTTCTAAAACTCTTAGTGCCTTCATTGTACTCCTGCTTTAAAAGCAGATTATACCCTATATGGAAACAAACTTTGAAGTTCAGGAATTGTCACATTATTGAAAACAGGGTATGAGGTTCCATTCCCCAAACTCAATGCCACTAAGACCTGGTTCTGACAATGAATCCTCTGTTTCTGTAGCGGCTTTGCAGGTAACGGTGGTGGTGTTCACCACAGAACTCACTGTTTAATGAGAGGAAGAGGAACCTGGAGATTTAAGTGAAAAATACAGGTTTAGAATATTCAATGAATTGGAGGTAGACTTTTCAAATCAGGACCCAATTTAATTTAATTTATTGTCAAATAAAAACCTTCTAATGACTGATTCTTGGGATTGAAATCCCTTCCCCCCGCATACTATACTATTTGTGGCAAATATTCTGTCTCTTTCCTTTCATGCCCTTAGTCTGTTCAGCCAGCTTCTCCTTCTCCTCTGTTACCTCACGACATGTGCAAACCCAGCTGTACACACTGAGGCCATCCAGCTCTGCCCGGTGACTGTAGCAGCGGCAATAGCACAAGTGTAGGGAGAATACTACACAGAGAGGAAGAACACCGTGGTGGTTTTCAAGTCACCCATAACCAGAAGGGACATCACTGAGTTCAGTGGGTGTGGATGTGCTTTCCTTCTGAAATTTTGCCCAGTCTTTCATATGCTCATGGCTACCTTTAACATGCTGAAGAGTCTAGGCAAAGAAGTCTACAGCTTAATTACCTGGAATGTGAAGAAGAGTTATCTTTTGTGTAAGTTGAACCTTCCTTTTTAAGTGACTGAGTGCCACAAAGAGAGCATGGCCCCTCTCAGCTGCCTCTTCGCTAGGCTAAAGAAGTTCTGTTTTATTTAGCCGTTCCTGTACAGGAGATACAGAATGTTATTGACTACTTTTTCCCAGTTTGATTATATATTATTTTGGATCAGGAAACAGAACTGAAGAGTTTAGTACAACATGCAGTTGTAGAGTGGTTTAATGGTGGTTTTTGGTTTGTTCTCTGTTTCTTTCCTGACAGTTCCCAATACCTGCCTGTTTGTCTGCTGAGCACTGAGTTTATTATTTTTGTTGTGTGTGTCTACTCTAACTTGACATTTTGGAATTATCTGAGTGATAGTAACAATCTCAGAGGCTGATGCATATGTAAATTTAGAAGCATGTTTACCTTTTTGTCTGGCTTTGTGCTTATGTACACTAAACGGCTTCTCCTGTTTCATCTTCCAGCCACTCCCAACAGAGAAATCTTGCATGTTTTCACAGGTGACCCTCATCTTTTCTCTTCTGAATAGCATCTGTGGACATCTAGATGATCTTTAAGATCCCTTCCAACCCAAACCGTTCTATGATTCTATGATCTCCTCCCCAGATATATGGAAAAGTACAGGTTCCTGTGGAACTCCACTGTGAAAGCTGACCATCAGGGTCCAGCATTATTTCCTGTTTTTTCACCAGTGGTGTATTCACAAAAGGACATTAGCTCTTGTTCCAGTGTAGCTTAATTTCCTTAAGAGGCCTTGGGGATTGCCCTTCTGCAGTTCTCTAGGCTGTGAAACAACTGTCTCTTCTGGACATTTTTTTACGCTATTTTACAAATGCCCTTATGACTCCTACACACTATCATATCTTCACACTTATTCCCTAATTGTTTTAGACTTACTAGCATCACTTTATTCAGTGTCAGGCTTACTGGTCTGGAGTTCTCTGGTCTGCTCTCAAAGATGGCGATTATGTTAACCGTTGGTACTAGGGCAGTTTTAAGTGAGAGATTATAAATGACATCGAGTAGTTTAGCTGTTACATTTTTCAGTAATGTCAGTAGTTTCTTCAAAGCTCAAGGAGTAAATACCTTTTCATTTTGGCAACTAGCTTTTCCTTTTTTCCATTTTGTTAATTTATTTTTAAGTTCTACCAGAGCTTCTGTTGGAAACAGACACTTTTGAGTCTTCAAATGAAGAAGTGCTCTGATGCGAGACCCTTACCATGCTTTTCCATGGTGAACACCAACAAAAATATTTCTGCAGAGAAACTCTTCTGAGTACACCTCTTACGACTT